GGTGTTATACAGCTACTTCAAGACTATGTACTTTGTAAATAATCTCATTTTCAGAGAAGTGTGGATAATATAGTTCTCTGACAGTCTCGTTTGAATTACATTGCAGTAAATGTTTCATTTCTTGGCTTGCTTGCCCAATTGTCTACCTGAGCCTTGTTTCCATTTACATGACTATTAATGTGCTGAAAGTATTGTTAAGCTCACAAGAACAACCCACATTTTCCATCTCATGCATATTGCTGATCCAAGAAATATAGACCCGGACCTTCTGTCACAGTGGCTGTGGTCAATATCCCTGAACTTAAATGTTATTAAAATAAATATTTTTAAGCATCTGAATTTGAATTGAAGAATTATACCAAAGTAAAATAAGGATACTCTAGCAAAAAAGCGCACAAGATATTAGGAAAACTTCACAAGTTTTGGGATCATGTCCTGTAGCGTTCTTTTTGAAAACCAAAACATACACATATTTCTTCAATTACAGCATCTTTTCTCTAGTTGCTTTCGGAAAATAAATTTAATTTACACTGCCTGATTAATGTAGTTTTTCGGTAGTGGGTGAACAATACTATAATCAGATCAAGAATTGCTTTGGCTGTTTCAAATAAACACTTTGGACATAAGCAGATAAATGTAATTATATGTTCCTGAAGAGCCAAATTTTAAAACTAGCTGTCAAAATAATGAAGACTCTGCCAACATAAACTTATTATTGGTCTGTATTGTGAAATTCTAAATAATGTGTGCTGAGATAAAAATTTTTAACAAAACTAAGAATATAAAGTACTAATTTTCTTGCAATTGCATTAGTAGATAAACATATCAATGCCTTTGAATACCATATATGCTCATTTACAAGTGGAGTCCAAATCCAAATAACACAAATCCTGATCTGTCTTTGCAGTATATGCTTAAAGATCAAAATGTATGTTGTTTGTTTTGCTGATCAGCCTAAGAAAATGAATAGACTGAGATCTGTAACATAGGAGAGGATTCACTCTGTTAACCTGAACTACTTTCTGCTGGGGTTGTGACACAATATAAAGCCATCATATCATGTACATTGGATTAAACCAAACTGCATTAAATTGTTTTTTGATGACTGGAAGTGTGGTGTAAAGAATACTATAAAATGCAGAATCAATGAATAATCATCCCTGCTTTTTGTTCTGAGAACAAATAATGAACTGTATATGTGTGTGTGTTTGTGTATGCTTGTCTTTGTATACATATGGGTTTTTGCCAAAAAACCCAAACCAAATTTTTGGTCAGTGCCATTGTTATCTCCTGTGGCTTTTGGAAATAAAAAAAGTATAGTGACACTGTTATGCTATTGAGATGATGGATGGACAAAATTCAATTTGTATCTCAGAAGATGAGTATATGTATTTTATCATAAAGCAAAGGAAAATTGAATAATGAGCATTGTTACCTTTCAAACTAATTGTACTAAAGCAGAAATGCTGAGATTCAGATTAGTAATTATTATTATCACCATCATCATTAACATCATTATCATCATTATTATCATTATTATTACCATCATCATCATCATCATTATTATTATTGTTATTATTATTACTACTATCATTAACATCATCATCATCATTATTATTATTATTATTATTGTTGTTATTGTTATTACTATTACTACTATCATTAACATCATCATCATTATTATTATTATTGTTGTTATTATTATTACTATCATTATCATCATCATCATCATTATTATTATTGTTGTTGTTATTGTTGTTATAATTATTATTATTATTATTATTATTATTATTATTATTATTATTATTATTATTATTATTATTATTATTATTTCCACAACTGGTAATTTATGGCTTAAGAAAATGTGTTCTCAAAAATTATAATTTCTTTTAGGCTGTATTTTAAATGTGAGTAGAAGGCCTATATTACTTGGTATCACTGTAGAACTACATCTTTCCCCACCTTCTGTAATACACATGCTTGGGTGTATCATGATTTAAGCTGATGCCACAGTATTGGCAACAAGGATACTACCTCATGACACTCAAAAAGTGGCACACATTTTTTCAAGTCCTACTGGTGAGATTTACTATTATGGTTATCAGGAGTATATCTGCTAGATATTATACTGTATATACCTTCATATATATATATATATATATATATATATATATATATATATATATATATATATATATATATATATATATATATATATATATATATATATAGATGCAATAAACTGACGACAAACAGTAAGCTAGTAACTAACTAGCCTAAGTGCTTTGGAATTTTAATGAGTCTTTTTCAAAGGCAAATACAAAACATATATACAATAAACAAATAAACACAAAAACTTTGTGTTTGTAAACCTCTACATGGCTGTCTTCACATGTGCTAAAACTATAAATACAACCAGCTTGTATAGACTAGATGCATGTGTTTACAAACACAACATTTTTGTGTTTATTTGTTTATCGTATATATATGTTTTGTATTTGCCTTTGAAAAAGACTCATTAAGAGTGAAAGGCTTAGGCTAGTTAGTTTACTAGTTTGGTACTGTTCGTGGTCAGTTTATTGCATCTATATATATATATATATATATATATATATATATATATATATATATATATATATATATAAGTCACACTGCAAAGGACATAGATCCTGATACTCTATAGCATAATGCATATGCAGATCAGAGTCTACATTGTTTATTTTGCCGATTACTCCTATCAAGCTGCACAAATCCAGATCTGCCACTGTATTATGGGATTATGCATTATGTGACAGCAGATCTGGGATTGTAGCTTGCAGCTGGAGTCATCTTACAAGGGGGCACATATGATACATAAATTTGGCCTTTTTTAGGAATATTCTTTTAGGTAGTGGTAAAATTTTGATACCATACATTACAACATTAATAATGTCTGTACATTACTGGAAACAAATGGAATGATGGTGTATTGGAAAAACTTGGTATCATTTGTAACCATGTTGGGCTGACTGCCTTGTTCATCCCATCTGTCTTCTTCACACACTTTCTCCAAAATAAACTAGAACCTGATTATCTTGTTATAATACCACTTGCACAGGCTCCAATAAAACTGATTTTTGACTGTATTTATTTTGATATGTTGTCAAAGCCTCTTTAATTATCAGAAAATTGTGGGGTTCTATTAGAACATAACAGTATTCTATGTTGGAGAACAAAATGATGTGGGGTCTTTTCCCAGGCCACAACAGGTATTTCCTAATCCCCTACCCATCCTGCCATGACCAATAATAACATCTTTGACAGTGCATAAATGAAAAATCACAAAAGCAGACATAACACATACCTACTTATTATCACAGAAAAAAAATTCATTTTTGTTTTAAATTTTCTTTTCTTCTGACATTTTTCAAATTTATTAGATATTTTGGCTTAAAGTGAAAAATATCAGGAAACTTGGAAGAAAGATAAAGGGATTAAAAACAAATCAAATTTATTATGGTATGAATAATGGAATATGTATTTTGCTCAGAGGAAAACAAAATAATACTAGGCCCATCATGCAAAGTCAGAAACACTGTATCCTTCATCAGTAAAATGACCCTTATAATAGTCCCCAGTAAAAGGAGCTGTTAAGTTCACCTCCCTTTTCATACAGACCAAAGGATCAGCCAATTAGCTTTTGAGTTGAAATGAACCATTAATAAAGTAGTACACAGCATCAACATCATGTGTGAGTATTATTGCTACGTCTTAATATTATTAGAAATTCATGCTTCCCATTGATATGGTCAGGAACTGTATTGTGTTCTAAATGGTAATGATTAATCACATTTGAATCGAATTTGATGTGCATATTGTGTTCTTGGGAAACCTCACATAGTCTGCTGTTCTCTCACTATCTCTCTGATTTGAATGTAAAGGAAGAAACAGCTTTTAATGATAAATGGATAGGAATGATGTCTTTCTTACCTAAATGGAGAAGCCAGCATAGTGACTTGACTGATTAGAACTGAATTCAGAATATTCAGTGCTTGTAAAGGGAAATCTTTCAAGATTTAGTCATGTACAAAAACAAGAATTTTTTTTCTTTTCTTGGAATAATTAACGATACTCGTTGTATGCATTGTAATTTTACTGTTATGATATCCTATTGTCAATACTAATACACCCAGGATACCATTTTAAAATTAAAATTTATAAAGTGACTTTTATAAGATGGATTCAGATGATTTTTTTTCTCACATTTAATAAAATTAAATTAGGAACACAAGCTAATGTATACTAGTTCTATTAATTTGTCCCTTCTTTTCATCCAAGATGTGGTTTAAAAATAATGAATAATTTCATATAGGAACCTTTTATTGTAACCAATACAAATTTGTTATAAAATTAATAACCACATATGATATAAAACTGAAGAAATTAAAGTATATATGCTATATATTCATAAATGTATGGTTGATAAATTTGAAAGCAATAACTAGTTACAGTCTCTTGCTGGCAATGAATGTTGATGTAGTTTTCATGCTTCACATACCAGGCACTGTATTAAATTAAATTACCTTAGTGTTTCTTCTGGCAAATTGTAAAATAAACCCCAGTTTACACATATACTGTGTTTGGGAGAAAATTAATATAAGACTAGTTCAACTGCCAACTGAACTGATTCACAATGGCATAAAGCACTGGCAAATCTGGGCTAATGCAGTTTTTTTTTAAAAAGAGCAATAAGTAAAACACACCACAGGCCTTGATCACTTGGCACATTATGTCATGTCATGTCAGGGTCTATGTTGTTTGCCATGAGACTCAACATATCAGTTGGTACATACATAAGGTATGAGAGCTCAGTATATACATAATACTGTCTGATGTTAAAGGGGGCAAAATTAATTATGCTTCTGACAGATTATAATTGAATTTAGGATTTTAACATTAACATGTTAACATAAAGAATAATTACTGATATCTTTTAGATAATGCAAATTATTATACATGTAGTCTCAACTGCCTAGTGGTTAGAGCATCTGCCTCTGATGGGGAAGGTCCTGGGTTTGATCCCTGGTTGAGTCATACCAAAGACTTACAAAAATGGTACTAACAGCTGCGTTGCTTAGTGCTCAGCATTAAGAGGTTAGTGTTAGGACTGGTTGGCCTGGTGTCAGGATAATGTGATTAGGTGGGACATCATGCTACATGTCTTCGGCATGATGCCCCAGCCTTGGACTATAAACTGCCACACTGCAGACATGTATCACTATGAATGAAAAATTGTTAAAGCTACATTAAAAATCATAATCACATCACATATTATAGTCTCCTTATGAAGGCCTCAAGGAAGAATAGTCCTTGACTAATGAGGGACCCTCTTATTATTATTATTATTATTATATATATATATATATATATATATATATATATATATATATATATATATATATATATATATATATATACACACACACACACACATATATTGTTACAACCCAGTAACTAAAGTATGTGTGTTAAGGATGAATTTTGTATAAATCTTTTTATTTCATTAAATGTAATTATTAATCTAATTATATTAATATCAGTCTAATATGTTTTTGAAAAGTGTTTACTTGAACTTGAGTCATAGATGTGACTCATGTGAGCATGTGCTGTGTATGATAACAAATTCATTACAAGTAAACATTCAGGAATAGTTATGAAAACAATTGGCTGATACTGGGTCAGGCTTTCCTAATGTCCAGAAGTATTATGAAATTGCATCCTTGTGTGTGTGCAATTCAAACAATGTATTAGCTTCATTTATATGTTTGAGATTTTTGTAACATGTGCACAGTCAGAAACTGGGAAATCCCCAGAAAGAACGACCAACCCACAAGAAGCTACTGGCAAGCTTACTCACATATCTGCATTTTGCCAATCTTAGACTCAATCCACACAGATTGCAGTGATTCATAAGGAAGAGTGCTTTAGACCACTCAGCCACTTGCCCGTTATACTTCTGTTAAAATGACAATCATATATTTGGTCCCACAGTCATAAGAACTCCTTAGTATACAAACTAAAGCTCAGGCTAAAAAAATTAAAATCTCTTATTTTCAGTAAGTTTATTTGATATTTCAATATTGCTTTTTATTTTATACTAGACCATGAATTATTTGATTTTTTTAAGTGAAATAAATATTTGAAATATATATATATATATATATATATATATATATATATATATATATATATATATATATATATATATATATATATATATATATATATATAAAAAATGAAAAACTTTGCTGGAATGAAAAATAAATATTTTTACTGACATGCTGTTATCATTATAACCAAGACCTGTGTGATGTATATTTAGTCATTTACATATTCTAGCGTTATATATGGCTGCCTTGTACAGTGTCCAAGTTCAAATTCAAAAATGAGCTTGTAATTTTTAAATTTATATTTTATTGTGCTGTTTTGCACTGAATTTGGAAGGAGAATTATATTACCAATGATATTTTCTGTGCAAATATACACTAAATATGGCAGAACATACTTGGCAAACTGCTGACATTAATGTGTGTGATACAGGAAGAAATCAAATACTTCATTCTGTTATTCATATTGGTAGCCAATGTGTTTGTGCATAAAAAATAGAATGAAAATTTGCTTACTCCAAGTGAGCAATGGAAATATTTTATCTCACGGGTGAAAAATGTAGTATTTTCAGTTGTCAAAATACTGATTTTTGTTTGTGAGATAAAATATATCTTACATTCACTGGAGCAAGCAAATGGCCTCTATATAATACATAACAATTTGAATGAAGGACAATAAATATGATGTCCCATTTTTTAGTTTTGTCCTTGATTTAATTTGTTATGTTTCAACCAAGGTGGTTTTGATTTTGTGCCTGGCTCATGAATAGAAGGATGAAGGTTCAAATCCCACCATCAGATTAGCTGAGATTAGCTACCATGGAGTGTTTTTGGGCAAGTCACTTTACTTCAATTGCCTCAGCACTAATAACCTTCATATGTTAATGCGATGTAAATGACCAAACTAAACCAAATCAATTTTTACGCTCAGACACTACCGTGACATTAGATTGTAGATTTCTTCAGTTCTTATTGAAGACACTTCCATTGTATATCTGAAATAGTCGTTAAATTTATTCATCCTCCAAGAAGCATAATCCTGAGAACGATGATGAGAAGTAACCACTTTCTTTGTATGAAAGACTCCTTTGGGATTGTCAGTGAGGAAATTTCATTATGATCAAAATGTCTTTTTTAAAACTTCATTCAAAATTCTCAAAGTTGTTAATGCTTGATAGGAATGTATGTAGAGAGTTGCCATGGAGTCCATAGATTTATATTAACTCTGCAAAGATACTGTCAATGAAAACAAGAAATTTCCAGACCCTAAATTCAATAAGATCAAAAAGCTGATTTAAGAATCATGGAGATTGCATATATTTAAGTTATATGAACAAATAAAGTATACTTACATTTAAGTAAGGCTTATATACAACTTTTTTCTATTCAATTTAATGTTAAATAAACTTTTCTTCAATTAAATTTAATGCACCACAATTACAATAAAAGTATCAAGTACAATAATATAAGTATACCTGTAATTAACGGTCAATTAATTAAAGTCACTTCTTGTAGCTAATACCCCATACAGTCCATTATACTGTCAAGAGAATGGAATTTAATTTACGATGTAAAATTTGAAGAAAAAAAATTTTATTGTTTATTTGCAAATATGAATAAAATATGAAGATAAGATGCATAAAGTCACTTGAAAATTTGCCAATAAAATGATGTCACTGCATCTTATCCACCAAAGAAGCCATGATACATCTAGTTATGTAGGGCTGTTGGTAGCATATACAGTATATACTAAAGCATCAAGAATTCTAAATAATTTTTGCCCAAATTCACTGCTTAGCCCCTATTCAATTTCTTAATGAAATATCCCTAAGGGATTGACTATTAATCCATATTTTAAAAAAATCTGTCTTAAATTTTTTTCAACCAATATGATTGATATAATTTGTTCTTTTCTACATCATAGTGATTAGGGCAAGATTTTTTCCAAGCAATTTGGGGAGGCTCAAAATTTAAGAACAAATAATCCACCTCCACCCCCATTTCATTAATTCATAAGTGGTGTAGTCACAGTCATCCAGGTCAACAGGTCCACATTTGCCATAAATATTGAATCCCTGTTTTGCTGTAGAACAACCACAAACCTGATTAACAGAGAGAACAATAGCATGGCAAGATCTGTGATAAGAAGTCTGATTTAAACCAGTCATGCATTGGGAAGGGCAGTACTGATATACATCCTGCCTACCACAAAATGCAATCTAATTATCAAATCATACAAAATCCCAGTACACCATCCTTCCATACATTTATTTACTGTTAAAGGACTCTAGCTCTTAAAATATATAACTGAAAAAAGTGAAAACAACAATTTCAATAAAATCAACAAACAATTTATTTCTCTAGAATATAGTGAAATTTCAAGAGACACTTAACAGCATTGTGAATTAAATCCCAAATACTGTAATCCTAAATGTCTTATCAAAAGTTCAAAAGTATAAAATGTTCCAAATCAATTCCAATAGTCTTGAATTTACTGATGTACCACAATTGATATGATTGATAATGTCATTGAATAAGATTTTAAAAATTCCAAAATAAGGCTTTAATACAAAGTCAATGAACACTTAGGAATTTCAATGAATAATTTAAATAATTCCTTTTGAATTACATCTGCATACAATTTTAATGGATTCCCACAGACTGATCTTAAAACAGGAATGAATTATTTATTTACATAGTCCCTATTTCTACACATTTTCACTTGATCGAGCTATGCATTTGATGAAATGGAAAATTGAGAAGTTAAAATTTTATTTGTCTAGTCCCTGTTTATACATATTTTCACTTGATCAAGCTGTGCAAATTGAGAAGTTAAAAAGATATTTATCTATTACTTTTTCATGAAACTAACCTAATATTTCTGGTAACATGAAAACCTCCAAAAATGCTTAATGAGATCAGCAAAGTGCAAATTATTGAGCCCTGCAAGAATTTAAACATGTTGGAATGGCAGGTGTATAGACCTTGATAGTTGATACTGATCATCTTTTGTTCTTGAAAAAGAAACAAAAGGTAATCAGTAACATTAGTTAAAATGGGATACCTAGGATCAACATCTTTCAGACTGCACTAATCACAGAAGATTTTCCACCCAATGTCAGAGACCTTGGATACATAAGCTCCCATGCCTTGAATGCATCACTGAACAAGTATCCCTGCCTGAAAACTTGTTCTAGTGGATAGATCACCTGTGATGATCCAAGCATGAACATGGAGAAGGTGTAGATTGTTGTTTAGGAGGGAGCCCCTGTGTTGTGCCAGAAGATCCCTCCTCTAAAAAAGACCTGGGTTGAACTGTCAATAGGTCTAGAAGATCTGTCAATAGGTCTGGAAGATCTGTCAATAGGTCTAGAAGATCTGTCAATAGATCTAGAAGACCTGTCAATAGGCTAACAAGATTGCTGAACTACAACTACTACAGTCACAGAGGAGCTATGAGAATGATATGAGACATGGAAGTTCTGACTTTCTGAGGAACTTGAGGTAGCAGTCTGCAATTGTAAAGGCATATATAAACTGACAATCCTATTAGAAACTTAATGTGTCAACTGCCCATGCTCTCTGGTTTGGAAATGGAGAAACATAAAAGGGAAGTCTATTGTTAAGCATTCACTGCCCATGATCTCTGGTTTGGGATTGGAAAGAAGTAAAAGTGATTCATGTTGTTCAGTTTAGTCACAAACAAGTTGACCAGATTCCTTCACAAAAGTGATAAAAGTGAAACTGCCATGGAGCAGTGATGAGTCCATTCCATGAGGACTGTTATAGATGACCTGGACAGACTGCCCACTAATTTTTTTCTTCCCAAAGTGTGGTGAACTTGGAGGGTGATATTCTCCTAAGTGGCATAGACCATCTAGCAAAAGAGAAGGGGCATTTGTGCCTTCTTGATGTTAAGAGATATGC